CCTTCATTTATATCATTACCTTGAAGGTATTTATAGAGTGTGATCTTGAGTGGAAAGGAAGGCTATATATAAACTATTTGACTATATATAAAGCCGAGATCCCTTGGTCCTTAGCTGTAAACTGCCTGAAACTGCCTCTGATTTAAGCTTTTATCCCATTTGCTGCATGTTTTGGACTTCAAAGGTACAAGTTCAGCAATTAAATCCCCATCCTGGGCCAGCGGTGATGCAGCTGTGGGTTCTCCAAATTTCTGCTGTCGCAGTAATCCGAGCACGTGGACATTTGTCTATGTCTTGTTTTCTCCTGTCCGTGCCCTGGTACAAACTCTCATGCAGGAGGAAACATTTCTGGGTGGGACTGAGCCACGTCCCACAGCGGGTGCCTGGCCCTGGAGCTGCTGCACTCTCGACCACAGGTCCAGGCTCCATGCCCAGCATCCTCGCTCCACATTCCCAGGGCTAAGTGTGCTTCCTCTGCTCCCAGAGCATGTCCTGGCAGCTCCACTCCTGGCGTGGCACTGGCTGCTGTGGCCACGCAGGGGGTGGCTCAGAGTCACGGAGGGGTGAGGCTATCCCAGGGCAAGGGCAGGATGGCCAGACCTCCCGGCAGCTGATGCTTGAACAGACTCCAGCGGTTGTTTCGTTTCCTGGTGGGCAGGCATCTGTCACCCAGGCCCTGGGGAGCAACTTCTGCTTAATAATCGTAACAGCAATAATTGTGCCGATAATCACAGAGGGGTGTGTGTGTCTCCTCCAGCCCGGGACCATGGGGAGCAGCAAGAGCAAGCCCAAAGACCCGAGCCAGCGCCGGCGCAGCCTGGAGCCCACCGACAACGCCCACCACGGGGGGTACCCGGCCTCGCAGACGCCCAGCAAGGCGGCGGCCCCCGATGCCCACCGCACCCCCAGCCGCTGCTTCGGAACCGTGGCTGCCGAGTCCAAACTCTTTGGAGGCTTCAACAGCTCTGACACGGTCACCTCTCCGCAGCGCGCCGGGGCACTGGCTGGTTGGTGTGGGCTGGGGCTCGGCAGGGTGGGCAGGGTCTCACTTGGGTCTTTGTGGGCTTGGGTTCGGCTTCTTGGGGTCTTCTGCTTTTGAGGGGCTCTGTGCTGGGGGGAGACGCAGATCTGTGTGGTGTTGGCCCGTGGGAGGATGGTGGGAGAGGAGGGTCCCTGGTGAGGGGCAGCCAGCGCTGTTGTGCAGCAGCAGCCGTGGCTGGGCCCCTGCTGAGAGCTCTGTGTCGCAGGTGGAGTCACCACCTTCGTGGCCCTCTATGACTACGAGTCCCGGACCGAAACAGACTTGTCCTTCAAGAAAGGAGAGCGCCTGCAGATCGTCAACAACACGTGAGTGTCCCTGTCCCTGTCCCTGCAGCCAAGCCCATGTGGTGAGCTGCCATCTCTGTCCCTCCTGCGGAGCCCCCAGCCCAGCCCAGCAGGGCCAGCTCTCCCAGGGATGGGGGCTCAGAGAGAGAGGCACCAAAATGTGCACGGACACAGTGACTTGTCCAAGGGCACTGATGCTAGAAGCGATCATTTGCCTGCTTCCTTGTCCTCCCAGCCCTGCTGCTGGTCACCGTGGCCTGGCAGCCTCATCACCAAGCTGCCTCCTCAGCTTGCTGGCTGGTCTGTGCCCTCCAGCACAGGGCCATGTCCCCACTGGTCCCCTGTCCCCATCTGTGCTCAGCTCCCTCTCGTTTGCCTGGACACATTCCTCAACTTCACGGGTGCCTCCCCCTGTGCTTGCAAGCTGTCTCTGGTCTCACCTTCTCTCTTGACTCTTCTTTCTCTCCCTCCATGCTGTCATTTAGGAGGAAAGTGGATGTCAGGTGTGTATGGCACATTATTACTGTTACTGTTAATGATCTCAATGATCTAAAACCCATCTGCTGCCCATACTAAAGCAGGTTGGTTGGAACAGGGCTGGGAGAAGATGGTTTCCCAATGGTTTTTTGGTCAGTTGGGTTTGTTCTTGAGCGACTGGGACAGAGTGGGGAGTCCTTTCCCATACTGGGGAACTGTTCCATCCAGAGCTGTGTCTGCACCTGGGAACAATGAACCTGGCCCCTTACTTTGTCTGTGCCTGGCTCCCTCTGCAGTTCCTTTCCAGTTGGTTCTCCACTTCTTCCTGGCCTTTTTTGCTTTCTTTTATTTTCATTTTTTAATTTTATTTTTTCATGAGTGACTCTGGGGACTCAAGCACTTCCTTAGGGGTCTGACCCCCTGGCTTGCTCCCCGTCCTGGTCACCCCAGCACACACATCCCGTGCTGCTTAGAGCAGGGCAGCATGGCCAGCTGGAAGATGCTCCTAAACATGATCCTGTGTTATTAAATCCATGTGTGGTCTGTCCTGAGATGTGGCACACATGGTCTGGAGCCTGGCTGGCAGAGCCAGCGTCCCCAGCCATGGAGCTGTCCCCAGGGCCTGCAGCTCCCCTTCCCCTCCACTGCTGCCTTCCAACCTGGGCACCCAAAACAGCTTTGCAAAGTCAAAGGGTGGAAAGATGAGGGAACACCCCAGGAGTCAGATTTCTCCTGCAATGCTCAGGCAGTGTTGCACAAACATGTTTTGAATCTGATCCTTGTTCTCATTGTTCCAGTGCTGTTTATTAACGGTGATTTGTTTCATCTACAAAGTCCAGAAGGGCTTCAATGCTGCAGGAAAAGCCTGAATTTTGGGGGTTTTGGTGCTTCTTACTTTCAGCCTCAGCAGTGTCAGAGCCCTAAGCTTGAGTTCTGGTTTGGGCTGTTGCAAAGTGAGCTCTGCCCATGGAGGTCCAGATCAGGCCCATATATGTGGGTTTTTAATTCACACCTCCTATCACTTCTGAGGTTTCCACACTTTTTTTTTTTCCTCTGCTGCTGTTTGTCAAAGGCTTGGTCAGAGGGAAGGGTCAAGCTGTGCTGGGCTCTGCAGCATCCTGGGGGGCCAAAAGGGCTTTGTTTGGTGACACAGCCCTTTGGTGGAGGGTGCAGGATGTACTGCTGACCTTCCCAGTGTCTGTGTGGGTGGGATGTCCACAGGGACAGAGGCAGTGGAGGAAGCTGGGCAGTTTGTGCAGTGCTCAGGGGGTGAATCACTCTTCTCATGGAGTTCCCAGAGATGCTTGGACAGTCTGGGAACAGCTCAGGCTGCCAGGCTTTAGGGACAGCAACAGGAGGGTGTGAGATGTCTCCTTCCTCTCAGCTCCCTGGCAGGGCATTCAGCTGTGGGGGGAGTCAGTCTGGGAAGGGCTGGCAGGTTCTGGGCACAGCAGGAGCCCACAGCCATGGTGGCTTTGCAGGGTGGTGGCAGGTTTTGGCTGCTCTGACTTCACCAGGGTTGCACGGGGTTGGAAAGGAGAAGCTTCCACATCACTCAGATCCCTACTCCAGGTCAGCCTGCCAATCCCCCCAATGCAGAAAGGCCCTCTTGGTCCCATTTCCAGTGGGAGGAGGTCTCCTCCCAGCCAACTGGCAGCCAGCAGGGATGTGGTGGGATATTTTGGGTAAGATTGTGCAGGGAATTGTTGAAATGCTTTGTTTTGATGATGATGATTATTATTTTTTTTTTCCCCACTGAGATATTTTTGGAATAGCTTGTTTTTGCTGAATTCCCAGCTTGCAGCCTTGCAGCCCAAGCTGGAATAAAGCCACAAGTCAAAAGCTGGGCATTTTTCAAACAGATGTTTACTCTGGTCGTGTGGGAAAGAGCCCAACCAGCTTTTGTTCCGTTTGAGAGCCCCCTCGGTAAAGGTGACTGGGGCAGCAGCCCTGGATGGGGAGCCCCAGCTGCCTGCCATGAGCTGTGCTGGGGCTGAGAGAGGCTCAAGTGCCATCCAGGGCTGCTGCAAGGCTGGCCCAGGGGCAGAGCCCAGCTCTGGGGGTGGGAGGAGAGGCCTGGACGGTCCCTGCTGTCCCCTGCCCCACTGACACTGCTGTGGGGAGCTGGGGGCCGTGTCTGGGTTCTCCTGGCCACTTCCAAGCAGTTTAGCTGGGGAAAGCACAAGCTGCTGGTGTGTCTGGAGTGAGGATGGAGCTTTCACATCTGCAGGGTCAGGGATGGGTCTGGATGTGGTCTGATGAGCCTTGCAGTGGTGACTGAGGTTATTAGTGTTTTTCTGTAACGTGTTTGTGGAGGTTGTCCTGCCGAGTTCCTGCATCCTCACGGGGCTGTTCCCACGGATCTGCAGCTTTCCCGTAGCCTCGTCTCCCTTGTGGTCAGGATGAGTTCGGTGACTCCGTCTTTGATGGGCAAGAAGATGCAGGTGGTGGGAGGAAGAGCCCTGCTGTCTGCAGGAAGGGGAAGCCACCTCCTGCCGTCCTCTTGTTCCTCTCTATTTATTGTCCTCTGCAGCCCTGTCCAGAGCAGGAGCTGGTGGGCAGGAGGGCAGAGTGGGGAGGAGACTCCCATGCCCTCCAGCTCCCGAGGATGTGCCTGGGGCCGCTGATCCTGGGGCTGGAGGGATGAATGGTGGCTGAGCCCCAGGATTTTGGGGACAGCGAGTCACACTCGTGGATGTGCAGGCAGAACCTGCCCTTGCTGGGGCTGCACAAAGCTCATGGTCAGGGCTGCAGCCGCATGGGGTGCCCGTCCTGGGGCTGTGAGCAGGGCACCCAGGCTGGACAGATCCCACTGCACCCAGGCTGGGCATCACTGCTGGGCAGGGCTCACCCCCTGCCCAAACCCCAGCGCCTTCCTGTGCTTTTCTGCAGCGTGTATTTAACATGTATTTAACTAACTCTCTTGGGTTTTCCCGGTGCCTTTGTTAATCACTGCCATCCTTCTTTTGCTTCTCCCTGTTTCCCCTCCCTCCCCTCACCTGCTGCTCCCCACTGTCCTGCTGCTGGGACCCCCAGTGCCTCACAGCCTCCAGCCAGACCCCATTCCCATTCAGGTGGCTCTGAAGGTGTTCTGGCTCCCAGGCTGCCCTGCCCAGTTGAAGTTTAAAGCTCATGCCATGTGCAAATGGGTG